TGGCTGTGGGTTTGTCACATATGGCCTTTACTATGTTAGGGCACTTTCCTTCTATACCCATTTTATTGAGAGTTTTTATCATAAATGGATGTTGGATCTTGTCAAATGCCTTCTCTGCATCTATTGAGATGATCATATGGTATTTATTCCTCATTTTGTTAATGTTAATGTGGTGTAGCACATTGATTGATTTGCAGATGTTGAACCATCGCTGTGTCCCTGGTATAAATCCCACTTGATCATGGTGTATGATCTTTTTAATGTATTTCTGTATTCGGTTTGCCAATACTTTGTTGAGGATTTTTGCATCTAGGTTCATCAGGGATATTGGTCTGTAGTTTTCCTTCTTAGTATTTTCTTTGTCTGGCTTTGGTATCAGGGTGATCTTGGCCACATAGAATGTGTTGGGAAGTGTTCCATCTTCCTCTATTTTTGGAATAGTTCGAGAAGGATAGGTATTAAATCTTCTTTGAATGTTTGGTAAAATTCTCCAGAGAAGCCATCTCGTCCTGGACATTTATTTTTTGGGAGGTTTTTAATTACTGTTTCAATCTCTTTACTTGTGATTGGTCTATTCAGATTCTCTATTTCTTCTTGATTCAGTTCTGGGAGGTTGTGTGAGTCTAAGAATTTATCCATTTCTCTAGATTGTCCAATTTGTTGGCATATAGTTTTTCATAGTATTCTCTTATAATCCTTTGTATTTCTGTGGTATCTGTTGTAATTTCTCCTTTTTCATTTCCAATTTTATTTATTTGAGCCTTCTCTCTTTTTTTCTTGGTGAGTCTGGCTAAGGGTCTGTCAATTCTGTTTATCTTCTCAAAGAACCAACTCTTTGTTTCATTAATCCTTTCTACTGTTTTTTTGATTTCAATTTCATTTATTTCTGCTCTGATTTTTATTATTTCCCTCCTTCTGCTGACTTTAGGCTTTGTTCTTTTTCTAGTTCAATTTAAGGTTGCTTATTTGGGCTTTTTCTTGTTTGTTAAGGTGGGCCTATATTGCTATGAGTTTCCCTCTCAGGACTGCTTTTGCTGCATCCCATATGGGTTGGTATGGATTACCTTCATTTTCATTTGTCTCTGGATATGATTTGATTTCTCCTTTAATTTCATTTAGATCCATTGGTTGTTCAGTAGCATGTTGTTGAGTCTCCACAGCTTTGTCACTTTCCCGGTTTTTTTCTTATAGTTGATTTCCAGCTTCATGGTGTTATGGTTGGAAAAGATGCTTGTTATAATTTCAATCTTAAATTTATATAAACATGCCTGCTTTCCCAACATATGGTCTATTCTTGAGAATGTTCCATGTGTGCTTGAGAAGAATGTGTACTCTGCTGTGTTTGGATGGAGTGCTCTCTCTATATCTATTAAGTCCATCTCATCAAGCTTTTCATTTAAGTCCATTATTTCCTTATTGATTTTCTGTCTGGATGATCTATCCATTGATGAAAGTGGGGTGTTAAGATCTCCTACTATTATTGTGTTGTAGTTAATGTCTCCTTTTAGGTTTGTTAATATTTGCTTTATGTACCTTGGTGCTCCTATGTTGGGTGCAGATATATTTAAAAGTCATATGTCTTCTTGGTGGAGTATCCCTTTTGTCATTATATATTGCCCCTCTTTGTCTGTCATTACCTGTTTTATCTTGAAGTCTACTTTGTCTGATATAAATATGGCAACACCTGCTTTCTTTTGTTTGCCATTAGCTTGGAGTATTGTCTTCCACCCCTTCACTGGGAGCCTGTGTCTGTCTTTAGAGCTGAGATGTGTTTCCTGGAGGCAGCATATTGTTGGGTCTTGTTTTTTAATCCATCCCACTACTCTGTGTCTTTTGATTGGAGAGTTCAGTCCATTTACATTTAGGGTAATTATCAATATATGAGGGCTTATTGTTTTTACTTTATCGCTCTTTTTCTGGTTCTTTTGCATTTCTTTTGTTTCTCATCCCGTGTGTTTTGGACTACCAATTTGGTTTGGTAGTTCTGTATGGGGGTTCTCTTAGTTTTCTCTGTCTTTATCGTGTGTGATTCTGTTCTGATTATTTGGTTAGTGGTTACCATGAGGTTTGTATTAAAAATCTTGTGGATGTGATAGTCCATTTTTTGATGGCATCTTATTCCCTTAGACTAAGTCGATTTGATCCCTTTCCTCTTCCCCTTCTAAGTTGTTGTTGTTACATCTTATTCTTTCTTGTGTTGTGAGTTTGTGTTTAACATGTTGAGGTTATATTTATTTTTGATGCTTACCTTTCCTTGATCTTTGGTTTTATAATTAAGCGTTTGCTAATCTATTCTGATAGATAGCTGCAATTATCTGGTTTTGTCAACCTATTTTCCTCCTTGTTCAAAACTTTGAATCCCCTTTCTCTTCTTTTTCTCAGGCATGAGGGCCTTCTTTTTTTTTTTTAAACTATGACGTTTTTCCCAAACACATTTGATTTTTTTGTTTTCTTTTAAGATTTTTGTTTATTTATTTTTTCCCCCCAAAGCCCCAGTAGATAGTTGTATGTCATAGTTTCACATCCTTCTAGTTGCTGTATGTGGGACATGGCCTCAGCATGGCCAGATAAGCGGTGCGTTGGTGCGTGCCCGGGATCCGAACCCAGGCCGCCAGCAGTGGAGCGCACGCACTTAACCGCTAAGCCACGGAGCCGGCATGAGGGCCTTCTTGAGCACTTCTTGTAGTGGGGGTCTTGTGGCAATGGACTCCCTTAGCTTTTGTTTATCTGGAATAGTTATTATTTCTCCATCATATCTGAAGGATATTTTTGCTGGATAGAGTATGCTTGGCTGAAATCTTTTGTCTTTCAGAATTTTTAATATATCATTCCATTCTTTCCTTGCCTGTAAAGTTTCTGTCAAGAAATTGGCTGAGAGCCTGACAGGAAATCCTTTTATGTTATTTATTTATTTTTTTTGTCTAGCTGCCCTTAATATTTTTTCTTTGTCATTGACTTTTGCCAGCTTTTCTACTATATGCCTTGGAGAGGGTCTCTTTGCGTTGATATATTTAGGAGATCTGTTTATTTCATTCACTGGTATTTCCAGCTCCTTCCCCAGGTTTGGGAAGTTCTTAGCTATTATTTCTTTGAACAAACTCTCTGCTCCTTTTCCCCTCCCTTCTCCCTTTGGAATACCTATAATCCTTATGTTGGATTTCCTAATTGAGTCGGATATTTCTCAGAGAGTTTCTTCAGTTCTTTTTAGTCTTAGCTCTCTTTCCTTCTCCATCTGGAGCATTTCTGCATTTCTGTCCTCAATATTGCTAATTCTTTCCTCCATATTGTCAGCCCTGATGCTTAAGGCTTCCACATTTGTCTTTATAGCCTCTATTGTGTTTTTCACCTCTAAGATTTCTGATTGGTTTTTCTTTATAGTTTGAATCTCTTCTGTGAAGAAACTCCTGATTTCATTGAATTGTCTATCTGTTTTTTCTTGTACTTCATTGAGCTTTTTTATGATGGCTATTTTGAATTCTCTGTCATTAAGGTTATACATTTCTGTGCTTTCCAGGTTGACTTCTGGGTGTTTGTCATTTTCATTTTGGTCGGGAGATTTAATATATTTTTGCATAGTGCCTGTCAGTGTTGGCTTGTTTTCCCTCATAGTGAAAATATATGGTTGCAGTTTCCTCTTGCCACCGCTGGGTGGGAGTCAAGGGCTGTGTATTCTGGCCTACCTCAATCCACGGGTGCTCTGGTCACCCCCTGGCTGAGCTGAGGCATGGCTGAGTTGAAGCATGGCTGATTTGAAGCATGGCTGAGTGGAGGCTGCTGGGGGTGAAGCGTGGCAAGAGCTGGGACTGGAGCGTAGGTAAGCCAAAGCAGCTGGGGCTCAGGTATGGGTGGGTTGAAGCAGCTGCAGCTGAAGTGCCGCTGGGGTGAAGAAGCAGGAGCTGGAGCACCACTGGGCTGAATAAGCTGGAACTGGAGTGCAGCTGGGCCGAAGTTGCTGGCGCCAAGTCAGCAGGAGCCTGAGCATGGCCAAGCCAAAGCAGCTGGAGCTGGGGGCGGGGGGCAGTCGAGGTGAAGGTGCTGGGGGCAGGGCACAGTTGAGCTGATGCAGCTGGGGCCCGGGTACAGTCGAACCAAAGGAGCTGGGGCCGTGGCGCGGTGGAGCCGGGGAGCTGGGGCCGTGTTACAATCCAGCTGGAGCAGCTGGGGCTGTGGTGCAGTGTGGCCTGAGCTGCCACCACCTCTGGTGCAGGGGCACAGGCATGCCATGCCACTGGTGGGGGCCAGGTGCCTGGGGGCCGGGCACAGGTACACCCTGCCACTGGTGGGGCCTGGGCACCTAGGGGCCGCTGTGGAGCTGAAGCGCTGCTGTGCTGAAGCACTGGTGGCTAGGCCAGGTTGGGATGGGGCACTTACTTTCACCTCACTTATCTCAGAAGTCTCTCACCTCACTGTCACTCTCTGCTCTCCTGGGGGGCTAGCTTGTTGAAAGTACCCTCACAACAGTTCTGCTCCCTCTTTAGGGGGATTCCCCATGGGCTGTAAGGGGTCTTGGAGAGTGCCAGTTTTCCAGTGGAGAGCCACCCCTCCCCGCCTCTCTGAGAGCCACGTGGTCTCAGTCTCTGGGTCGCAGTCCTTGGGGAAGGAAGGGAGCTCTTCTTACCTCCTTCCACTTACTCTGGGGATTCCAGCACCTCAGTCCTCGGGTGTACGGCTGTGTGGGTGCCTCAGATGTCCCCTATCTTGTGTGAATAGCTTCTTTTGGAATATGAATGTCCTTTTTGTTGTGTCTTAGAGGGGGAGAGTTCACTGGGGGAAGCTCACTCTACCATGATGCTGACATCACTCTTGCTTTACTTTTTGAAAATGACAGAAACACATTTAGAATAACAGTCATTTGATCCAATGAAAAGTCTGCTTCACAGAGTTGTGTATAAATGCACCCCTGCAGCTGCATCTGTTAGATTATTGTCTTTGGATAGAATTTTTGTAAAATAACTACTAATTTTGAAGGAAATGCTGGTGTTTCCTTATAGATTAGCATCTTCTGGTCTTCCTGTGGTCAGAGATAACACTATGCTACCAATGGTGGGTGGTAAACAACAACATTTTGTGCACATTACACATTCTATTTCTGGAGATGTGAAAATTCAGTACTTAATTTTTGAGTTCACTGTTTGCTGACAGGATTTATTACAAAGTAAAAAACGTATAGCCAAACAATAAAATAAATAAATGGCTGTAGATTTTCACTCTACAATGAATGATAAAACCAGTATTGCGAGAGAGTTTAGACTTTTTTCTCTAATACCCTATAACTGGATTTTATATGATACTCCATAACTGGATTGGTGGGCTTCTCTTTCCCTGTACATAGTTTACATACGCCTAAACCATAATTTTCCAATTGCCCCTGCCAATTGGTGGGTTCTCTTGAGCCACAGCATGAACTAGCACAACCAAGTGGCTGTTGGGGAAAGCAGCGTCAACTACTTCTCCCACCAACACTAGATACCACAAGGACTTAGTTGTCCCTAGTTGCTATGACCAAGCAAGCACATGTTTTATCAGTGAGTTAACTCCTTATATGCTTATATGCTGTTCTAAGGCCATCTCTATGGTAGAAAGTTCTTATCCATGGAGTAAGTATATTTCTTGGAAGAGAACCAGAATGATAGTGGTGAGGCACAGTTCAAAAGTTTACATTCTACCTGGGTAGAGATATGTGTAAGCCTAATGGTCTCATGGCTCCATTTTAGGTGCCCTTGATGTATGTGACTCCATTTTGTAATCACCTTCCACAGCTGCATAACTGGTATCATCTTTAGACTCATTCATCTGCATTGAGCACAGACCTGTTGAAGTACTTGACCTATGAAATGAGTTCCCCCATCGCTACGAAGTTCGAGGGTGCTTCCCTAGATAGGGATAATCTTTTCTAACAGAATTGTAGCCACAGAAGAAGCAGTGGCCTGTCTACAAGGAAAAATTTCAGTCCAGTGAGAATACATACAGACCATGATCAAGACATATTTATATCCATGAGATGGGGGAAGCTGTATAAAATTTATTTGCTAAACTTTAAATGGTCCATTGGGCAATTTAAAGTGTCTGGGAGTGGTGCAGACAGGATTTCTTGAATTGTATTTTGGGCAGGTGGGGCGAGTGAAATAGGCACTGTTTTCAGCTTTATTAATATTTCCCCACCAGTATTGGTGCATAAAGATTACTATTTCATCTGTGGGCCAATGATTCAAGTCATGTACAGTGATTAGTAATGGGAATTTTAGAGTTTCCAGTAGGACTGGGCTGTCATTTGGCCTGAACCAGAGCTTTTTCTTTTTGTCAAATAAAAAATTATTGAATTACTAATGTTGTCTTTTTTTTCTGAGGCCAATTGTGGGCTTCTTTAGCCAGTTTTCCCAAGCTATCATTTGGAGAGTCATCCCTTTGGACCATGACAGAGGTTTGGCTACAAGTTTCTCCTTTAAGAACAGAATTCTTTGCAGTAGCATCAGCAAGGTGATTTCCCCTAGCTTCCAGAAACTCAAATTTAGAATGCCCTGGGATCTTAATAATAGCTAAAGCAGCAGGGAAGAGTTTTGCATCCTGTAGTTCCTGAACATAAGGACTGTTTCTAATTTTATCTTTGCAGGAAGTAAGGAAACTACATTGCTTCCACAACATCACAAAGTCATGGGCTACTGGAAAGCATACCTACTATCAGTATGAATATTGGCAGTCTTTCCCTTGGCTAGGGCCCACATAAGTGTATACAGTTTGGCTTGTTGGGCTGTAGTAGCCAAGAGCCAAGGTGTTACTCAGATTACATCAAAAGGCATTGATCTTGCATATCCAACACAATTTTTACCATTGTCACTCTTTAAATAAGACCCATCAATAAACCATGAGATGTTGGCTCAGAAGTGTTTCTTGTAGGTTGTCACAAGGGGTCAGGAGGTGGTCTGTCAAGTGTTAAACAGCCATGGAGAATCTCATCAGTAGTGGAGGGGAGAATGGTGGCAGGCTTAAGGTTATTGCAGCAAGAAAGAGTAGTGTGAGGAGCAGTTAGTAAGAGGATCTCATAAGGGGTGAGATGGCTGGCTGAAAGATATGTGTGGTGAGAATTTAGGAGGGCTTTCACTCATGGGGTACAAAAATGGTTAACGGGGATCCCACAACTATTTCCTCAGTGACAACCAAAAGGGTGGTGGCAGGCATGACTAAGACAGGGAGGGTATCCTTTTGCCAAAGGGTTCAGTTGATGACTGTAGTACCCTACAGGTTGATGGTGGTCCAGTGTTTTTGTGTGAGCACCCCAAGGGCACTTCCTTCCTCTCATGCACTAAGAGGAAAAAGAGAAGCTGGTAGTTTGGTTACTCAAGGGCAGGGGGGTTTATTAAGCTCTTCTTTAAGGCTTTAAAGGCTATGTTGTTTTGTTCTCCCCACAAGGTCATGGTTACTGTTTTTTAATAAGACATACAAGGTTTTGGCCATAAGAGAAAAATTTGGAATCCAATTTCAGTGGTACCCAGCGAGCCTGGGGAAACCTTGTAGGTGTTGGGTTTTGGGAAGCTCAGGACATCATGAAAACTGTTTGGATATAGGTGTAGCCCTTGTTCTAGTAGGAGGTGCCCCAAATACCAAACCTGGGTTTGCACAAACTGCAGTTTCTCCTTGGGGACCTTGTATCCTTTTAGGGCTAAAAACCTTAGTATGTGGATGCTGTTTTCCTGTGAGGAGGCCTGAGAGGGAGAGCAAAGAAGCAAATCGGCTACATACTGGAACGAAGTAGAATCACTTAGAAGCTGTACATCATCCAGATCAGCCTTCAGGACTTGTGAAAAGAAGGACTTTCAGTAAATCCCTGAGGCATCACTGTCCAGTGAATTGTTTTCCTTCCCAAGTGAAAGCAAAGAGGAACTGGCTGTCCTCATCACCTGGGACACTAAAGAACGTGCTTCACAGATCAATCACAGTAAAGAATATGCTTTCAGTTGGGATAGACTCCAGCAGCATATGAGGGTTAGGAACAACTGGGTGCCTAGGGATGACAATGTTATTTATTGTTTGGAAGTCCTGGCTGAATCTCCATCCTTGGCCACTGAGTTTTCTTACAGGTAAAATAGAAGTATTATAGGGACTAGTACATGAGTATAAGACCTTGGGCCTTATACTCTTCTATTATTGGCTCAATGCCCTGCATTTTTCTTGATTTATAGGATATTGATTAATTTTAGGGCAAGGCTTTGAAGGATCTATTTGAATTTTGATAGGAAGTGAACTGTGAATTCTGCCAATATCAGTTTCAGAGTTTGCCCATAAGGAGAGCAGCAGCTGATCTAATAGAGATAAATGTCTAGTGTGTTTAAAATCAGTCTTACTGTCGTCAGAGATGGAGCAAATAAAAGATATTGAAGGGTCATTTAATTCACCTAGTTAACCATTTGGGTTGCTGCTATCACTGCTGCTATCAAATTCTAGAATTATTTTCCCCTTTTGGGAGAAGGAAATGCCAGTAGGGTATTTCTCCAGGAACTCTTGGCCCAACAGATGAATGGGAGTGGAGGAACTTAGGAGAAAAGAGTGAGTGTTCCTCAGAGGGTCTAAACCAAAGGCAATGGGTTTAGAGACAGGGACCTGTTGAGGTTTGTCAGAGACCCCACTGTCTGAACTGTTTCAGTTCTCTGAGGCAGGGGCTGTTTAATAACAGTGGGGTTGAGCATAAAGAGTGTAGCACCAGTGTCAATAAGTACAGAGAAAGAGTCAATCCCAATCTAGAGAGCAGTTTCCCCAAGTTGATTAAGGGAAAGGATTTGGAAAAGCCCCTGTGGTTTCTCAGAACCCCATCACTGGGGATTGGGAGGGCATTGGAAGTATCGGCAAGGGGGCTGAAGACCCCTGGGGCTTTTCACTTGCAGCAGTCCTTTATCCAATGCCCTGACTCTTCACAGAAATGACAGAGACTGGGAAGTTTCTGGTTCTGTCCACTGGCCTCCATTTGTTGGAGTTGAAAATTTAGGATTTTTATGGGTTTTTTTCCTGGTTAAATCCTCTACAATGTGAGCGAGCAGATTTGCCAAATTGACCAAATCTGGAGTAGACATGGTCTTCCACTCTCTCCAGGTCCTCTTCACTAATAAGGAAATGTCCTGGTTCAGCCCATTAACAAACATAGTATTAAAAGCTACCCGAGTGTCAGAGAGTGACATCAGCATCATGGCAGAGTGAGCTTTCCCCTTACACTCTCCCCCCCCATAAGATACAACAAAAAGGACATTCATATATCAACAGAGGACATTCACACAACACAAAAGACGTGTGAGAGACTCACATAGCCTTACTTCTGAAGGTGGAGGTGCTGGTACCCCTGGAGGAACTGGAAGGAGGTAAGGAGAACTCCTCTCCTCCCCGAATGACAGTGGCCCTGGGACCAGGACTGTGCAGCACTCAGAGAGGGGGGAGGGGGGCCTTCTGCAGGAAAACTTTCGCTCTCCAAATTGTCTCACAGCCTGTGGGAAGTTTCCATACAAAGGGGACTGAACTGTTCCAGGGGTGCCCTCATCAAGCTAGCACCCCAGGAGAGCAAGTAGTGAGGGAAGTGCGAGAAGCCCCTGGGATCAGGTAGGTGAAAGAAAGACCTCTCCCCCTGACTGGAGCGCCAGCACAGCCAGTCGGCTGGAGCACCTGCAGATCATGGTGGGCTCAGAATACACAGCTCTTGACCCCAGCCCAGTGGTGGCAGGTGGAAGCTGCAACCAGATATCTTCAGAATGAGGAAAAATAAGCCCATGCCCTCAAGCACTATGCAAAAATATGTTAAATCTCCAGACCAGAAGGAAAGTGACAAGCATCCAGAAATAAATCCTGAAGGCACAGTAATTTATAACCTAAATGACAGAGAATTCAAAATAGCTGTCATAAAAAAGCTCAACAAACTACAAGAAAACACAGGTAGACAATTCAATCACGAAATTTTTCAGAAGAGATTGAAACTATAGAGAAAAACCAATCATAAATGTTGGAGATGAAAAACACAATGGAGAAGATAAAGAAAA